TTTAATCCTTTATGGCATTCATCTTGCAAAAGGATTCTGGGTGTGGCCTCTTGGAGTTGTGTGTGAAAGGAACACATCTAATTAATAAAACTATGTATGGAATGTAATATATAGTGTATATAACATAAACCATACTACCATAGCTACATTGCTATACCTGCTTAGCACCCATCATTAGTTTTATCCTTTATATCAGTACAGTGGCTCAGTGGTTAGCACTTACAGCACTGAGGTTCCTAGTTGAAATCCAGGTTTGGCCAGGACTCTATCTGCATAGAATTTGCATGTTCTTCCTGTGCTTGTGTGGGTTTCTGGGTACTCCAGTTTCCTCAAACACTCCAAAGACATGCTGGGAGAGGAATTGACTCTTCTCAACAATTGGCCCTCGTATGTGTGCAAATGAGATAGGGACTGTAGACTTTAAGCTCCTTGAGGGAAGAAGACGATGTGAATGAGTAGTATGTAAAGCACTGAGTAAAATTATGGTGAACATAAATGCTTGTAATCGATAAATATTCCCTTAGAACACAATCTAATTTCATAGCTGATGTTAACCTGTTTTGTTTGTTTACTTAGGTTGAATAGAGTACATCTAAATCTCTGGTACATGTAATAATGAATGATGCTTGTCTCTGTACGATGCAGATACTGTACATGTGATCTCTTTCAAACTTCCTATAAATGCATTTTTTTGCAATGTTTTACAAATGTAGGCTTTGAGGGAGTGGCATCATCTAACACAAAGCTTGCCAACAGCAAGTAGATGGATGGATGTTAAAGTCTGCCACTTTCTTTTACTTTCTTCAATGTGCAGTATGCTGCTATATAGCTAAATCTTCCATTGTTTGTGTCACTACACTTTCCATATACTCTATGTCCTTAAGCCATGATTAGAAACCAAATAGCCTTTACCACCCCCCTTCCCAATCCCTGCTTTAGAACTTTGTATGCATTGAGGTTGGAGGTCATTAGAAAAGATATTTTGTTTTGTCTCCATGACAGGAGGTATCATGTAATGGGAACAGTTTCAAACATAGGCGTATGATGTTTGCTAAACATGATGTTTATTATATCTACGTTTTACACAGCAGGCTGAGAGTCATCTCTCTGGTTCAGGAACTGGGCTCCCCATGATAGTCACAATAGGTAAACTTCGATAGAGAAGCTTTAATATAGCTATCCAGCCAGACACACCTGTTCGTAAGGCTTGTTTTTTGTTAGGTAAGAATATTAGGATTTTGCCTAAAGGCATACCACTCATCGGTTGCTTCATTAGACTTTACTTTAAATCTACCCCCACCCTTCCTTTATTGCTTTGCCTTAGTCCCGTCAAAGACGCACATCCAGTTTATTCTTTGTACACAGGAGTGCTAACTAACTGTATTAAAGTTAGTAACTAACTAACTGTATTAAAGGATTTGATGCAACAAAGTTACCATTTACAAATGTATAATTCCCAGGTCTGTGCATTCAAATGATACACAGCTGCATAAATAAATATGCCTGCAATTCTGCGAAGACGCAAGTAGCGCTTGCCAAAGCCGAACACAGCGTTTTGTTTATTCAGTGGATTTAAAAATAGCATTTGCATGGAGGCAATGATATTAAATGCCTCTTTGACCTACATGTGAAATAGCTGTACAAAATCTAAGTGTTTTCTACTGTTTTACATCTGTGCCTTAGTTAATTCTTTGTGTCATGGAAATAGTGAGAAGGAAATGGTATGATCGTTCCTTGGCAGGAAACTTTGCACATTTTAACAAGAGATCACATCTTTAAGCACAAAAAATAATCTGTTTAAACTCCCCTGCAATTTTTTTTCAAATGGGTTTAAAATCACCTTGTGTTTAACCTATTAACTTTATAACACAGGGAGAATGCCATCCGTTACAACAAATGGCTTTTGTATTATATGTACCTGTGTTTTTTTTTTTATCAGGCACTTGGTTTAAAGAGTCTTTTGTTTGTAGCATATGTGACTGTTCTAGGTATGCTCCAAGATGTAGAGTCTGGGACTAACAACATATGGGCAGAGGTTATTCTGCAAACGATGCTGTGTTTCTGTGCTCATTTATATGCATAAAGGCCTAATGCCATTTTAGTAAGATCTCCTCTCACTTACTGTTCTCTCTGACAGTCATTACCTAGACAAGAAGTGAGGGAAAATCTCAGACAACTTGCTTCTGTGGAAAGACCTTGAATACATGTAATGTCAGTCAGGGAGTGGGTGAAGCCCTTTGGGCTTTAGTGTAGGTCTTTATCCAGAGCGTCCTTCTTTCCTCCAGGAAATAGCTAGATGTGTATGATATATTATCACATTATGGCCTGAAGCAATAGCTAGCCACTAGTCCCTGCTGCTACTTCTGCTTAAGCTTGGCAGAATATCGAGTGGTATATGGCTCCGTCAGCACACCTCCATTCACCAGACGTTGATTTTTTAATCAACTTTTGTTGAAGGAGCCAGTCTGAAAATTCTTATCTTCTTCATGGAGAAGTCTTGTGGTTATCTGAGAGTGTGTAGTTAACAGTAAAAAAAAAACATTAGGTGACCACTCTTAGCACTGCTCTTTACTGCCATCCTACACTTACTGTTCAAAATTATTGGATGTGGTGGTGGACTTATATCACACCCCTCTTCAGGCGCACTAGAGCAGATAAATCTAATCGATTTGGAGTGACCTTTCTCATTCCAAAAAGAACATCACATGCTAGGCACACATCTTTCCCCAAGCTTCTCAAAGATTTTTATAGGAAAAGCTCTGTGCATTGAGATAAAGGTTGAAATAGTAATTTTTCCAAAGGACCTCTTGACTAGTGAACATAAATCTCCCTATTCTGTGGGCTCAAGGCACTGGTGCCAGCATCTGCCTAATGGAAAATCTGGTCATTCCTTTTCACCTTAGTAGAATTCACACAGTCAAGGCTATGACCTCCGCAAGATATTTTTTTGGGTCCTGCTATTTCAATGCCATTTTTTTGTTTTGAATAAAGCAGATGTGAATTAGGACCTCTTTTAGGTTTTTGCTGCAGTCTATATCTCAGTTGGGAAAAAGACCCCTCATTTTTTATCCCTGTAACATCAGGACAAGATATGTGGGAAACAGGAGTTACTGGGATAGGAAGGGACACACATAACAAAATAAAAAAGCCTAAAGAAATTTCTATCCATTTCCATTTCTGTTTTTTGGCTGGAGTTGGGATTGAAGGGACATTTTGGGAAATCTGATTATAATGTAACTATGAGACAATAGATATTAACTCTGACAACATTTCCTTCTTTTTTGATCATAAGGTTTATTGGGCATTTTGCATTTTCGGCTTGATCCACATTATTCTCCTTTTTGATTTGTTGGACAATTAATTAAAAAGCCATACATGGTGTAATTATAATAACAACAGCATCTATTTCATGATTACTATATGTAAACTGTAGAAAATAGATACTTATACATATAAATGCAAAAACAGATACATGTTGTTTTCCTCCTGATTTACAGTGGTTGCTAGTCACGGACATTTAATGAGTAGTGTCACCTAGTGCAGACAGCAGGTGGTAATTCCAGTGAAGCTGTCAGATTGCATAAACTCTGTTGCATCAGAAGGAGTGTATACAAATCCTGAAGCAGAGAGAGGATTGCGTGTGACTCAGTTATGGCTGATTTATTCATCAAACTTCCATGTAGTCTCCGTATGATATCACAAAATGCTACATTTGGATTTATTAAAGCAAGACTATATACAGAACAGGTTTTATAATGAGCCTATGGTATACACAGCATCAATGTCAGTAGAGAGTACGTTTATATATACTTCCCAATTAGTCAGAATATTTTGGAAAGTGCATGAGTGGAACCTGAATCTCACTGTATGCGCACATGTGAACCAACTCTGTGTGTCTATAGCTTCACTGTGTGTTGCCTTTGCTTCTTGCTTCCAGCAGTTGTATTCATATATGGAGCTTTACCGTTTCCTTTTTTGTGCATGTGTTTGCTGTTTGCTTAAATATTGTGATGCTGCAAGCAAAAAAAAAAATGTAATGATGTAACAATGTTGGATACTAATCACTATATATGTATGTATATAT